ATGATGCGACGGCAGCCATAGTGCGCCAGAACGCTCACCACACATCAGCTATCAGTGGGGAGGAGAGCAGAGTAATGAAGCCAATTCATAAATGGGGATTATTAGGAGGCCATGATTGGAAAGGGTCAATAGGAAATTTGGCCAGGATGCCAGGATTACACTTTTCGAGAAATGCCCTGGGATTTTTAATGACCACAGATGGTCAGGACCTCGGTTTTTTACAGTATAGCGTCCCCGATCACTATACTGGGGAATGAGGACCCACAGACTGTGGGGTGAGCGCCCTCTGCTGGTGTATGCACTTCTGGCCACAGCTTACAGTGGGATGCCCATGGTTTCAAAAATGCGTTTGTTTCAGCTGAAAAATCAAAATCTCAAGTATCACTATCACCTCTTCCAGTACCGTCCAGGTACTGACCAGGATCACATCTGCTTAGCTTCAGTGGGTTGCCAGTTGTGAGTTGCAGGGTGACATGGCTGCTAGCTGTTCATGTCAAATAATTTATCATTATTAATAATTTAGCTCTATAATATTATTGTTTTCAGATGGTCATAGCATGTGGTGGAACTGACACAAAGGAATCCTTACAGAAAACACTGAACTTTTAGTATTAATACAAGTTTATAAATTGACAACTGACAGCATATTTATTGACCCTTTTTATTCTCCTTCCTTTCAAATGACCTTTCTTTCAAAGGTCAGTAACTTTAATTCTGTGAATAACCTTTCCTTTATACAGTTATTCTCTTTTTACAATTTATCCAGAAGTATAGTTTATTGAGAAAGATGAAAACTTTGCTTTGGAGTCAAGATATAAGGACATAAAGATAACAAATAATAGGTGGCCCTTATGCTCATCTTGCCCATTTAGTAGTCATTAATTGATTGAGAATTTTAGTTGGCCTTAGATGGAATTTAAATGCACTTTAGGTAGTTGTTTTCTTTAATAATCTGAAGGTGAGAGGCAGGCAACTCCATCCATTCAGGGTGTTTTTGGTATGGAATGGCACTTGCCATGGAGATGATCGATGGAAAAACTTTAGCACATGTCTAGTATGAGGGCAGATCTAAATGTTCTTTAAAGCATTTTTCATGTAAAGTTTGAAGGGGATGTGTGCTTATGTCAGATTCTCTTGACAGCTGGGTTCCTGGGTGGGCTTCACGGTGATGACCCAATGTCTGCCAGTGGCCTTCTTCACTCTTGTGGGTTTCATCCAGATGACCGTGTGGGCGAAGGGGAAGCACCGCAGCTACCTGAAGGAGTTTCGGGACTACCCTCCTCTGCGCTCCCCTATTATGCCTTTCCTACTGTGAGCTACTGTAGATCACCTCACATTACCATTGGGAACTGGCCAGGAAAGGAGCTTGGAATCAGAAAGAGGGAGGTCTAAACAGAGAGAAAAAAATCTTTACAGTAATATTCGTCATAATGCAACTCAAAAGACTTTTGATGTAGCTAGTGGTGTGTGGAAATTGTTGCTGCCATTCAAATTACAGCTTTGTTTCTGTTTAGTCTTCCTGTAATTTTTTTGTGATAACATTCTCAGTAATGTATACCTATAATGAATGCTAGAAAAAATTCTTAATATTTTTAACAGTTTCCTTTAGTTTTTGCAGTGAGGATCCTGATGCAGTTCCTCCTTCCAGCTGACATGTTAAGTATGAAAAAGCACTTGATTAAAAAAGGCAAATGTTTAAAAATGCTGCTCTTATTCCTGAAGACACACAGGTTTTGTGGTGAGATCTACACATTTTCACATGTCCCACGTAATGATAATTCATTATTGGTTAATGTGTGTCAGGATTTCAAGACCAGCTGCAGAAAAAAGTCATTTTCAAATACTTGTACCTAAACCCAAACCATTTTTTTCATTCACTTAAAACCTTCCAACCAGATTTTATTGATTCTTCCAGTAATCATTGTTCTACAACAAAAACATTTTAGTCTATTTATGGATTGTAATAGAAAGTGTGAACAGAAAGGTACTTACAGTATATCAAGTTTTATGACACTGATGAGAGTGGTATGGAGCAGTATTACTCTCTAGGGATATGCTTTTTAGAGTCAGAACCCCTGTTTTCATAAATGTTTTAGAAATATGGGGCGTTTAGAATCTGGAGAATTAAGATGACTGCTATATCCCTGTAACCTCCTGAGGAGTGACGTAGAAGGAAGATAAGAGTATGATACTACAGAAAGGCTAAAAGTGGATTTGTTTGTAATAAAAAATTAACTGAATTGTTCTTTTTGACTTGCTTTTAAAAAATGATTGAGAGCTGCTGAATTTGAAAAAGTGCTATGTTGCAATTGTAGCAATGTGAGGTTTACAGGATGTCTGTAGCAGAAAGAGAAAGTTATAGGTAAGAAGGATACACAGAACTGAAAGACTTTTAAAATCTTTTTTAAAAGACTTCAGTAACATCTCTGTGGCCACCCATCTTTTTGTGTGGCACATATTAACTATGCAAAGTAACTAAGAAATGGAGTTGTGTGGATTATAACCATAAATTCTTCTTGGCATCTGAACTGGAGTCTTGATTTAGGAGCATGGGTTGAATTATTTGTACAACAACGTTTTCTACAGTTTCAAATGGAAATGCCTTGGCTTACATATTTCAGCAACGTGTATTAGAAATCCATTGAATAAGGTATTGAGCAGAAGTAACAGTTTGAACAAGTTTTGTAAATATGTGCGGATCAGTCCTGTTCTCCTAGTAGCACAGGAATCTATTGAGGTAATGGTAAATATGCAGAAACATGATGTTCAGTCCTAAATGCTATTTTTTTTAAATATGGTTACAGAAGTCTGTCTCCTGTTCCTCAAGGCAGGTATGCATTGCCTGCCACTGAGAAAGTATACTAATTTGACTGGGGGTTCTTAATACTTTGTCCAGTGACTGAATATAAATATTAACAAAATAGTGTCAGTACCATACATATTTTGTTCTTCTTCTTAGAGCTTCTTCTTTGTACAGACTGGATTCCAGTTTTTAATTTGCAAGACATGTTCTGTGTACTGTAGATCAATCCATTCAAAACTAGAAGTCTGGATTAAATCTGTCGAAGCTCAGTGCTAGTAGTACAGCCAATGTTAAATAATGCATTTTAATTTCTAAAGCTCTACAGTAGCCACCATTAGCATTGTAAAGGATCTTCTGAGGCTTTTGAGTTGCATTATAGATGTTTTTTGATTATTACATTTGGATAGTCCATCAAAATGAACAGAAATCTACAACCTATAGTTAAGAGTGATGTATTTTCTTGTCTTCTGCCTGCGTTTTCATATTACTGCTGTCGAAGTGCAGCGAAGTACTCCAGTCTTGTGGCAACCTACTTGTCTGTAATGCCGTCTAACTCATGGTCTTAATTTTGAAAGAACTCATTCACTGTCTTCTAATTTAACTCAGTCTTGTTAATACAACAGAGTTAGAAATGAGGTTGAAAAAATCACGTGAATTGCTCTGTAATATGCTTATGTACTAATGAGACAAATTTATAAAATGTTAATTTGCGATTGTCTTTTTCATTTGATCTGTCACTCATTTTCTTGTATGTGAATGATTGTTTACAGAACAGTCTAAATACATAGAATGCAGACATCTGCTGGCCTTGGTTGTCTTTTTTGCTTCTTCTTAATGTGGTCATTTTTCTTACCTTCCGAATGGTGTGTCTTGTAAGCTGTAATGGACAAATAAAAGATACCAGTCCTTGCTTGTTCTTAAAAACAAGTCCATGTTTGAGTCACCTTTGTTCCTAGGTCATTTTTTAATTTCTTGAAACCCCCACAAGTGCTTGAGGAGAAATGACTGTGAATCTGAAAAGACCAGTAATAATTTAACAGCAACTTATTTTTGCATTCCTGTTTAATTTCAAAGTTACCCGAGTGGGCTTCTGGACTATAAAATATTTTGTTTTTTACTGTGCTTTATAGAACTTCTTTACAGTGCCCTTCAAAAGTATTGGGAAAGCACAAACAAAAGTATTTTACTGTGAAAGCAATTGGTATTTGTGCTAATGAGATTAATATGAATGATAAGTACAATACACATTATAATTTTGGATAATAAATACATTTGATCATATTAGAACACAGTGTTCAACCCAGTAATTTCAAGTGACCAAAACCTAGCTTTATGGAGCAATTTAAGCTGCTCTCCCAAGCCTTTGCTGCAGCCATTCTGGCCTTGTCAGTCTCTAGAATGAATCTGTCTTTTTGCCTACCCCAGCTTGCTCTCTTTATGAGAAACACAGACAGGGAGAGAGAAGCTTGGGGTTAGAGTGCAGGATCAGCCATTGTACAGTGCCCCTGGAGCAGCTGGGGTTAAGGGCCTTGCTCAGGAGCCCAACAGAGAAGGATTCCTCTGCCAGCCGTGGGATTTGAACCCGCAACCTTCTAGCCACAGGCGCAGGTCCTTAGCCACAGAGCCACCGCTCCACCCCAATGTTTAAAATGATAAGCATTTTACACCTCAATCTTCTAAAACACCCCAAGAATAGGCATCTAGGATTTCCTTCATTTTTTTCCTGAAGAAATTCTTGGTTGCATTTGCTGTATTTTTTTGTCATGTTCCTTGGTAAAGCTCTGCTTAAGAACCCAGAAGTCCTTTCTTCTACCAAAACAAAGTTTCCGTAAATTCATTCTGTGGCTGCCATCATTAGTTACATTATAAAGAGGAATGAATAAGAATGAGTAAGCCAGTTTCAGAGGTGGTCATGCATGCCCAGGACATGACATTACCAATTCACTATTCATTTGACTGCATGGTATTTTTTATATTGTACTAGCAAAAAACGATTCTAGGAGTAACAGAACTAATTAATGCAGCACTTTTAATGCCAAAGCATTCCAAAATATAAGGGAACAGCTTTCTGCGTGCAGCTTGACTACATAACACAGGTGCTGGAGACATTGAGGAATGACTTGAGTCAGTGACTCAATATACAATATGGAAACCCATGTGGAGAGATGAAACATACCAGAATTGGAATTTAAGCTTTGTAACCAGGTTTCAGCACCCTTATTTGACAGCGTCGTAACATTTAATAAACATGAGCAGTCACAAATTTATTCCTAACATCATATGTGAAAAAAAGGCATCTTTCACAGAGCCCCCATTCCTACAGTTAGGGACCAACCCTACTTCCAGGAGCAACCTGATTTTTTTTACTATTTTTCTCCTTTACAAACACAAACCAGAGCAGGCTGGTTATGTGCAGGCTTTGAAAATCCTTTACAGAAACAATAAATGTCCTGATAACCATTTGACTTTAACTTTGAAAAACAAAAGGGAAGAAGGTAGAGAACCAACTAGATTAATTATGATTTTATTTTCGATGTACAGAAAAGTGTTCCATTCTCTCGCAAAGTGAGGCAGCTCTGCTGAAGCTGGGATCATGCAGCCTTGGTCTCTTCCAGCCTCTTCTTCCTCATCAGCAAACGCCGCTCTCGCTCATACTCTTTCAACCTCATCACATAGCTGGAGATGAGGAGGCAAGATGGAAACAAGTGTTTAAGTTTAATGCATAGACAGCTTTTAGTGCATTCATCTCCATTGTAGAATTTGCATCCCTTATATGAACACCAGAACAGGGTATAATGAAAATAATCCTTTATCCAGCATTTGCATCTTTAAACTTGGTATTTATTTGTAAACCAGATAGCACAGTGTTCTCCCATCACAAGGTTATAGTCCAGTGATTTCAGGATTAAATGTCCTGTCTAGGGTATAGACTAGAGTTCAAACTAGAAATTCTTCTGTTTCAAATACAAATGATTGCCATAAGTACTCTACTTCAGCCTGTTAACTCAGTCCACTTACACATTGTCATATAGTGCTTGTGTCATATAAATAGGAGCAACATCAAAAATGAAATAATTCTTCTTCTATCATTTTTTATGATGAAAAAGTTATTGGCAAATACTAGTAAATGATATAGAATTCTCTTTACTTTTCGAAAGTAAAGAGAAAAAACAAATCAATTTTGTTTTAGAATAAACAGAACATCACTTGGAAAACTGTTCAAGAAAGAACAAGTTGCCAGGACCATGACATTGTCATGAGCAATGAAATGAGCTGTATTAAGCGAATCAGATAACATAAGACTTCAGTAAAAGCAAAAGGAATAAATGTATGATTAGGATTTAAGACTAATCCCTCCTTTACACTGTGACCTTTTCAAAATGATGCTGAATAAAATTGGAAGATAGATCCATTAGTTACCATCTATAAAGGAAAAAAACAATGACAAGATGTCCATATTAACATAGGTGGAAGAAAATTCTCATTCTAAAATTTTATTTTTTAAAAGAAGACAAAGTTAAATCAAATTATTTTCTTAGGCTTTTGGTACAAAGCTATATAAAGCAGCTATAGGGCATCTGGAATTTGTAGGCTGAATACACTACTGCAGGCAGTACTAGTTTCTAACCAGACAGCCTAATTCAGTTCTGTACCAAAAACAGACATGACAAAAATGTTTCAGAAATCTAAGCTTTGTTTTTATGATGTTAGCAGATAAGGGTCCTTCGATGTCAGAAACTAATTCTGACTTTTCTACAAAAGCAAGATAAAAGAGAAAAACGAAAAAATCCCTTAACAATCGATTACAATAAGTAGTGCAACATATAGTCAACTGCAACACAAAACACAATAAGATAAATTTCCCCTTTTTTTTTACTTCTACGTACCCTGTGAATTTGAGAGTACTGTAGAATGAAGGTGGCCACATTGAAGTCAATGCTTTGTTTAAAGGTCGCCATATTTAATAAAACTGGGTGGCAAGATTAGCAGTGCTGGGGCTCTGGATTAAATTACTGAGGTTCTCTCTGTATGAAGTGTGTATGCTCTGCCTGTGTTTGCATACGTTTTCCTCCACAGTCCAAATACTGGCAGGTTGATTGACTTTTATAAAAATTGGCCTTGGTGTGAGTATGTGTGTGTTTGGGTCTGCGTGTGCCTTGTAATGGACTGGCGTCCTGTCAAGGGTGTATCCCGCCTTATGCCCAATGCTTCCCGGGATAGTGCAGACCGTGGACTGGTTAATTCCAAGACCTAACTGCTACTCATCACTCTCTGGAAGGCAAAGCAAGATTGAAGAACAATTCCATGCAAGAAAATGGGAAGCGAGGACTCACTCTTGGTGTTCACAGTAATCCCAGTCATGGCGCTCTTGCTTGCAGGCCAGGAAGTTGGGCCAGTAGTCTCGATTGCACTTCATCAGCTTGATGAGGTAGTGAGCACAGTAATCACGCTGTGATAGAGGCAGCTGGGCATCATCCATCTGCTGCTGTGTGGCTACCATCACTGTTGGGCACAAAAAAGGAAATAGGCTACCTCCCAGCTCTACATAGGATGAATTCAGGGTCTGTTGCTGATGTCATAAACATGTGAACCTATGCAGTAGGGGTATACAGAACTCAAGATATTATCAAATACTGTTTCCAGGTCTTTTCTTAATCTAGATCTAGTCAAAGATATGTTTTTAAACAGAATTCAAATATGATATTTTCCTTATCAGTTTCAGTTCAGTTTATTTTTCATATGCACAAGTGCAATGAAATGCTTATAAATGCTTATTTACCTTATTATACCTTAAACTTAATATAACCAAGCAACTCTAGAAACAGTAATGCAAAGATACACTAATGTGGTACAAAATAAACCTAATGATATTAATTCAGTCCAGATATTAACCTTGACTATTATCGTCAGCCCATAATTTGAACCTAGTTAAACTTTTTTTAACCTATCAAATGATAGTCAAATATGTTTACTCTCAATCCGGTTTTATTCAAACAAAAGTTAAACACTTTGAAAGATGAACAGACTGATTACAGCAGTCATTAATGGAAGCAGAGGAAATTTAAGACACTACTTTAAGACATTAATATAAAAAGTAGAACAGGAACATGCATTCAGCTCCGATGAACATTTTCTAACATTAAAGGCATAGCCGAAATTGGTACAATGTCTGTAACATACTGTGCACTACCTCATTAATAAGTAGAGATCACTTTCTCAAGATTTCAAATCTGTGCCTAAACCATGATGTAGAGGAAAGACAGCAGCTTATCAATAGGCATCTTATAGCCATTTAGCTTTAAAATTGAACTGGTACAAATAATATGTAGTCAACATGTAGTGTTTTCAAGTAAAACACTAGAAGTTAAGAAATCTATTTAACAAAAGGACTGAAAGGAAACTTTAACTCTACACTCAGGATACCCACACTGTGCAGTAATAGTCAGATCAGGTCTAATTTGGATGGTTCATTTTTTTTGGCTGCCGTCACATCATCCACGTGGGTGCTGCACATTGGTAGTGGTGGAGGAGAGTCTCTAATACCTGTAAGACCCTTTGAGTAGAATGTCCAGAAAAGTGTTACATTATTGTTGTCATTATTATTTTATTATTTTTTCATATATGTCCCACATGGTAATTAAACACATTACATGAACACATATTTTATTCCATAATCCCAAATAAGACTTGGGTGCCTGGTGCTATAATGTACTTTGATGGACTTGCAGATGGCTGATCTTATAACTGCTGTAATGAGAGAAACACAAGTTTTAATTTCTAAAATGCAACATTGAATATTTTAAATTAGAACAACTAAATAATGTGCTTGGGACCAGAATGGTATGGTCCTGCTTCACCCCATGATAAGAGTATAGAAATTCTAGGACACATCTCACACAGTTTAGGGATATAATAATAATAATAATAATAATAATAATAATAATAATAATAATAATAATATTGTTGCCAAGCACACAATTGGAGCACTGTAATTCCATTATGTTACTTTTATGTATATTGTTTCACAAACAGACAGGAAACACTAGACTCTGTACCTGCTGAACAGACCAAAGATTTTTCAGTTCATTATTGGATTCATGTGATGTCACTGTGCATTAGGATGTACCTACTATCAAAGGACATCTTTGCTTTAGAGCACCTTTTGATGACGAGTTGTGTTTAATATCTTGTGATCTCATGTTTGCAATGTACCATGTACCAGACAGCTTAGTTGAAATGAAAACTAAGACACTGAAGTTAGGCCTATTAGACCCTGACCAAGGTCTTTTGTAGCCTGAGCTACATGTTAATAATGGAATCCCTTTGGAAGATAGCAGAAGCTATAATGGCACAAATACTTATTTCACAAAAGCACTACCCCCCCCCCCCCCCCTCCACATGCACCATTTATAACTAATCATTTTTTATCTTATTCACTTTCTAAATGAGTTGTCATCAAATCACGAATCACAACCATTTTGAAGCACATGCTGTGTGTGTTGCAATGATCCCAATGTTTCTCAGGGTTAGTGAACAAATGAAAAAATGGTCTCAGATCAATCACTGAGTAGACTGACATGTTATGCGCTATAGCATCTAACTCTGGAGTTAACAATCCTTGTCCTGCAAGCAAGTAACTGCTGATTTGTGTTTCAGCCAAGCAATCAGTTACACAATTGAATCTTTAATTGACTCAATTATATAGATAAAAGATTCATATTGATTGTTTTCATCTCATAAACATGTTGGAGGTCACCTTTTAAGCGATTTGATTTAGACTATAAAATCAAATCCCAAACTTTCTGAAAAAATTGCAACTATTGCAGTCAAGAAACTTATTTCAATTAAGGATTGAATTATGTAATTGAGTTGGGCTCGAAAGAAAACTTGCTGGTGTTGTGATCCTGCAGGACCCGGATCCTCCGATTCCAAAAGCCATCGGATTATAAAACTTTTTTAGTCTGTCTCTGCATCTAACACCGAGGAGAACATTTAAAACGGATTAAAAGGTTTATTTCATTGTGATTTTTAACTGATGAAAGCACCTACTTTTGAGGTCTTTTTTAATTTATTGAAATAATGTTTTTTGGAAATTATTTCAGTATGACCAAACGAGGCTGGAGTTGGCTTCTTATTCGCGTTTTTTGTTCTACCTTAAATGCTGCTCCTGTGATGTTACGTCGCCTTTCGCCTATAGATGGCTCTCTACAATCTTTTTTAAATGTACTAATGGATTACTGTACATATCCTCAGTAAAGGGGAATATTTAAGTAGTGACTGTCCGAATTGCATTTTTGTATGAAACATTTAAGAAAGTCTCAAATTATTGCATTTTACAAGACATTTTAATATAGCAGTATTAAATGGGACATTAAGAACATGGCATATGAGAATATAGGGTGATGGTACTTTCTGCTAATTGCTATGAACCTACCCCCAGTTATAAAAACGTCTCAAAATTCTGACACTGAGATATGAGAGACAGTGTAACAGACTATCAAACTTCAGGAGATTTTATTGTACCATTTTTTAAATATGACCCTCTGAAGGATAATTATCTTTTTATCTTTGCTGACTGCAGTTTATCTTTGATGACAACAAAAAAGTTAAGGAATTTTTATGGGTAACAGCTCCACATCATATTCCTTTTATAACTAACCTCATGAGATCCCTCAACTCCCAGCTCTACCAGTTTCTCAACTTCTCAACACCCCTCCCACCAATCCTAACCTTGTTGTTACTATACCCCCTGCCCTTTTCCTTTCACAGGATGAGTGATCTCTTCTCAGCAAAGGCCTTAGTTTTGTACTAGTCCCCAACAAGCTGGACATCCCGCAAAACCAAGTCAACCTCATCTGCTTTTACCAAAAGATAATCTTTGCTGACTTCCCTATCTTTCTTACACCTGAAGAAGGCTCTACAGCCAAAAAGTTGCTTCTTTCATATCTTTTCAGCATAGAAAAAACCTTTACTTGTTCCTTTGAAGCCTACACATGCTGACACAGCTACCCACCTGCTATATAGCATTCCTATAATCTTTGAATGACCACTGTGGGCATTTTTTCCCTTGATTATTTATTCTGGCATTGAAGCATATTTTATGTCATACCGAAGTATCATAATCACTGAAAAAAGACGTTTTTCCATTCAGAAAGCAAGACAATGACAAATCACAACGCAGAAATGCAACAGTGAAGTGTTGTAATTATAAATGTACATGATGAGTGATTTTGTCTCTCTTACCTTAGTGTCACAATATTAAGATGTTTTGGTCATGAGGAAGGAAAGACAAAGCAAATCAGCAGAAGATGTGCTATTTTGTTAACTATAAATCCTCACATGCAATGTTCACAGGGTTATATTTAAAAAATGGTACAGTAAATTTTCTTTTATTTCAGGATTTTGACAGTGTCACAATGTCTCTCACACCTCAGTGTCAGAATTCTGAGACAAAGGTCATAGCAATTAAGCAGAAACTGCAATCAGTTTTTCCCAATGCATTCTCTCATGCCATGTTCAGAGGGTCATATTTTAAAAATAGACTGTCAAAATCCTGAAGTACAATACATTTTACTGTACCATCACATTGTCTCTCACATCTTGGTGTCAGAATTGTGAGAATTTTATCATCAGGAGGGAGGGCCACAGCAATTCAGCAGAAAGTGCAGTCACAATTTGCCAGTGTAAATTCGTGTCTACAATATTCAGTTCGGATTAGTACTGACCGAAGAGAGCCATCTACAGGCGAAAGGCGATATAATATCACAGCAGCAGCATTTAAGGTGGAACGAAAAACGCGAATAAGAAGCTTCAGCCTCGGTATGACCAAATAACCTTCAAACTATAAAAAGAAAAATAGCATCCGATTCGTAAGAGTGGAAGCACACAAAGCTATATACGAACACCTTAAATTAATATTACCTCGCTCTTTCCTATTGGGAAATCCAAAGTCAGGGGCAAACCCTGCAGGTTTCAGGGGGTCCGGTTCGGTGTCTGGACTGGTCACATAACGACGGACAAGGTGCGCTCCCATAGCGGCATAGAGCTTCTTACTCCTTTGGTATACAATTGAAATCAAATGCAAAACGTTTTACAACCCGGTTTGTGTGAAAGTATACTGACAGGTCACCTCCTCCTCCACTGTATCTCCCCCAAAAAAAGAGCTACTTCCGCTTCCGGTTCAGGCAGGAACCAATTCGGAAGTGCTTTCAAAAAATTGTTCCCCTGCATCTGCCCTGCCATCAGGTAATATGGTTCCTCTACGTTATTTGGAGTAAAATACGTAAATAACCAAGTAAAGGTTCATTTCTACCCTCTCTCTCTCATCCTAGCGTTAATGCCGCATCAGCAGGGTCCGCTTGTCGGCACGCCCGTCTCCATTTGGTGGTTTGAACCAAATCTTTGAGCTGACGTTGCCATTAAATGCGACCAAGAATACTCCAACCTGCGCGTCGCTCCGCCTGCCGTCGGAGTGGGGGGGAAGGTTCATTTCTACTGGAAATTAAAATAATAGAGAATTAAGGTTTCGTCTGTTGAGACTTATTCGGTTATTAGTAGTTTATTTAAAGTAGTTTATTTGACTAATTTAAATTTGTTAGTTTTTATGTTTCTTATGTTTTTTCAGGTACAATTTATGCTATAAAACTGATATCATACAATGTTAAGACATTAAACATATTTGCATAGTGAACTCTGTGAGAACTTTGAAATATGGTACTGAAAAATAATTTTAATACACATTATTTAACAAAGCAAATTAATCCATCCATCCATTTTCTATCAACTTTATCCATTACAGGGTGTCATCCCAGCAAGCAACGGGTGTAAGGCAGGAATGTGGGAGAAAACCCAGGGAAGAACATACAAACTCATTGCAGATAGCACCCCAGGAATTTAACGCAGAGTTCTATCACTTCAAGGCTGCAATTACAACAGTGTCACCATGCAATCCTGAATTAATTCATAATTTTATTTCAAATTGAGGATACAATTATTTTTGTGCAAGTGTGCCCTTCATGAATAACAATAGATAACTGCAGTTGTGAACATTAGATTTGCCATTCTTTTGCCATTGCTGTTCCTGATAAGACAATGTTAAATCAAAAGAAAATTACGACAAATAATGAAAACCCACAGATAGTTCCATCATGTGGAAACATCGTTTTATTTTGCACAAACATAAACACCTATGGACATTCATTCTGTCAAAATGTACCACACGTGCAGTCCTGTTTCAATTCAGCATGTGTCTCTTTTGTTGATGTTCCTTAAGTAATCTGCTGAAATGATTTTGTTAATAACATTCAGAAAATTGAATACGTGTATAAAATCTCTTTCCAGTATTCATTGTTCAAGACTAAATAGTTTTTACTTTTTTAGCTTTACATGTCAGTTGCACATAATTTCTAGCAGTGTTTGTATGTTAAAAAAAAGCAATTTACACCCACCAAAAGTCCATAGGTATTAACGTCTTGCAGCCTGATCTCATCTGATACCAGAAAATTAAGTCTTTTGGGGTTTTTTTTATTATGGACTGGACCATTATAAAGTACTGCAATAGGAGATCTCTAAGGAATACAGATTTGCTGCTGCAGGTAGCTCTGTTGGAGCAGAATTGCAAAACCATAGTTATGGTGAAATGAGACATCATTTTATAAGTTACAGCGATGATCTCAGTACATGTTTATATGTTTAGAGAGATGGAGATGTGTTTGTGTCTGTGTGTGCTCTCTGATAGTCTGGTGTCATATTTACTGTAGTATATATCCTACCTTGTGCCAGTTGCTTGCCAGGATAGGCTCCAGCTTCCTTTCGGCCATGAACTGGATAAGGTGGATAGAAAATGGATGGATAGTATTCTTGCACTGGCAAATAAAAGAGTGTAAATTTGGCATACCTAGCAGAGTTCTCTTTGATGCAAGATCCCCACATTAGCGGAGAGATGGAGTGAGTGGGAAGCTGATTTCACAAACCGCTGAGCTGGAGCGAAGTGCCTGAGAGTTATAATTAACAAGTACATTACCTGTACGGTGTGTACCTGTATGCAATGAATACAATGTACTCTGTACTGCATTGTAATTGAATCTTTGAATTACTGGAAATGGAGAAAGTGTTGTTGGAAACTGCCATCCAGGAGGTTTTCTGGTAATAGAAGTATATTCTTGCTTTCTGTGGGAAAGTACACATTATCATAAGAACACAGGGATATAATTTTTTTTAAACAGAGGAATCTTGATCATTTAGTAGTTTAGCATCAGAGTGAGTTTACAGTTCTGTCCAGTCATTGCTGAACTGTTCTCGTCAAGGTGGGAAGTCTATTCTAAATACCCACAAGTCTTTGTGAAAGATGTTTTTTAATGCATACATTTTTTCTCCTTAGCTTCCATCGGTGACCCTGTGCCCTTTCAATATTAAGTATATTATAGTCCCTTGATTTGACCTTATCTTGACCTAACCTGTCTGTAGATAAATTTATATAATGTCTGTTGCTTTAAACTATTTCTAAGGCTGTAGTATCCCTTTTGTAGCATGTTGACCAAAACTAAACACAATATTCTGTTTCCATGAGTATACTGTTAAACCTGAGCACACCTGCATGGATTTAAATTAAACATTTTGTACTATATACACAAGCATTCTGTTTGACTTTTTAACATTTCCCCACAGTGTCTTGATGAGGACACAGAAAAGTCTACATAAACACCCAGATATATTTTGTTAGCAGCTTCCTACCGTATATGTAGGACACAATACTTTATTTGTTAAACTGCAATTCTTTCTTTTATAATTGCAATAATTTTCTCTTTTAAACACAATAAATATTTTTTTCTCCATGGCAGTAATATGTTAAATTTACAAATCATAAAAATATTTGAAAAAACAATGAGACAATATAAAGGATTACAGTGGATATAAAAAGTCTACACACCCTTAGTGAAATTGCAGGTTTTTGTGATGTAAAGGCAGAAATCAAGATAAATCATGTCAGGAATTTTTCCATCTTTAATGTGACCTTGCAACCAACAAAATTCAAGAGAAAAACAAATAGATAATTACTAATAACTAATACTTTGGGGAAGCACGTTTTGCATTTATTACAGCATTAAGTCTTTTTGAATAAGTATCAACTCTTTGTACACCTGGACTTTGCAATTTTATCCCACTCTTCCTTGCAAAAAAGTTCAAGCTCCTTCATATGGCCAGGGAATCTCCTGTGCACAGCCCTCTTTAGGTCATTCCACAGGTTTTTTATGGGATTGAGGTCTGGGCTCTGACTGGGCTATTCCAAGACTTTGATCTTACTTTTCTGAAGCCATTCCTTGGTTGACTTGGATGTGTGCTTTGGGTCATTATCATATTGGAAGGTGAAATTCCTCTTCATCTTCAGCTTTCTGACAGAGGCCAGTAGGTTTTGTGCCGAAATATCTTGATATTTGGAGCTAGTCATTATTCCACTTATTGATGATAGTCTTCACAGTGCTCCATTGTACATCTAATGCCTTTGGTATTCTTTTATACACCTCTCCTGATCAATACCTTTCAACAATAAGATCCCATAAATTTTTTGTCAGCTCCTTGTGGACCATGGCTATCCCAGTAGGATGCAACCATGAAAGTTTCAAGGAAATCATACAGGAACAGCTGATTTTTATTTGGGGTTAATCAGAATAACTTTCATTAATGCCAGGTGTATGCTACTTACCTTTGGACATGATTTTAAAGGTGATTGGTTAACTGTGATTAGTTAACACAGCTACAGCCATTATAAAAGTGTGTGCACACCTATGCAACCAGGGTGTTGTAGGTTTTTTAATTTAAATTATTTTTCCTAATAATTATCTATTTGTTTTTCTCTTGAATTTTGTTGGTTGCAAGGTCATATTAAAGATATAAAGATGGAAAAATGTCTGACACGATTTATCTTGATTTCTGGCTTTACTTACTACTACTACTTATTACACTTATATAGCGCTTTTCTGGACACTCCACTCAAAGTGCTTTACAGGTAATGGGGACTCCCCTCCACCACCACCAATGTGCAATGTGCGACGGCAGCCATAGTGCACCAGAACGCTCACCACACATCAGCTATCAGTGGGGAGAAGAGCAGAGTAATGTAGCCAATTAATAGAGGGGGATTTTTAGGAGGCCATGATTGGTAAGGGCCAATGGGAAATTTGGCCAGGACGCCAGGGTTACACCCCTACTCTTTTTGAGAAACACCATGGGATTTTTAATGACCACAGAGAGTCAGGACCTCGGTTTTATGTCTTATGTGTTATGGTTTTATGTGTTAACATTATAGTGTCCCATTATAGGACCCACATGGACTGCAGAGTGAGCGCTCCCTGCTGGCCCCACTAACACGTCTTTCAGCAGCAACCTTAGTTTTTCCCAGGAGGTCTCCCATCCAGGTACTGACCAGGCTCACACCTGCTTAGCTTCAGTGGGTTGCCAGTTGTGAGTTGCAGGGTGATATGGCTGCTGACATCACAAAAACCTATACTTATATATAATAAACAAATATATATTATAACAAATAAATTGATAGATCAGGGTCAACAGGCCTCAAACTGATTCCTGCATTGTAATTCCTGCACTGCTTACATTGTTCCCAATAAGTGATTGTGGCTCTTAAGAATCAGTTTCCCTTTTTGTTATACTGGTCTCCATTCATGTCTATTATATTACCTTGGACTAAAAAACTACAGTTTTCCACAGATGAATCAGGGATTTTATCAAAAACTTTCTGCAAATCAAAACATACTTTATGGTGACCTATGCTTTATTGTAATCAATTATCTTTGTTGCTTGTTTGAAGAATTCTAGTAAGTTAGATTCATAGTGGAAGAACAACTGTGTCGTACTGTATGTGGATACGAAGAAATCCAAATATATCTTTAACACATCCACAAACCAATTGTTAAAGCCCTGAAAGTGTGATTCTGCTTAAATGTTATGATGAACGGCAAAAATCTAAATGTATTTTTGTGTTTTATACTGTATGCTTGTAGGTACTTTTACAGATAATGGAAAGTTGATTGTACTCTTATTCATTATTCTCACTCTTTTCATTATTTGCTTGGATGGTTTTGTAAATTGCAAAATAGTATAGTGCAATGTTTGGAAATGTTGAAATCTGAGTCTTGAGCTGATTAATTGAACTATAAAATGGC